CCCAGACAAAACCTCCAGGCACAGATGATGCCTGGATCTTGCCTGCCTGAGAAGACTTTGTCTCAGCCAGCCTGGTGGGTACCAAGTGTCTTCTAGGGCACTGAAATCTATGGCAGCTGCTGTGGTTCCCTCTGGGAGAGGCAGCCATCCCAACCTGCTTGTGGACCAGCAGTTGATGAAACGTGGCCTGGAGACACAATCCCAGACAGTGTGGGGGATCAAGGCTGCTGTGCCAACCAGGGGAGCATCCCCAGCCCTCAGCTGGGTCTCTGCAGGCAGGTGGAAGGTGGATGAAGGTGAGTGTGTGGTCAGGGCAGGATCCCTGGTGGATCTGGCTGGGTTGTGGGGTCATGGGTGTGCCAAATGGGAGCATCCTTCTCCCAGCTCTGGGCTCAGAGGTGTGGTTTAGGTTTCTCTGGGTTCTTTACACTCCAGTGTGTACTGGTCTTGCTGGTTTCCAATAGGGTGCACAGGGGGTTTTTCCCAGCACATCCCATTAGGTGGCAATGCAGCCTGTTCCTCTGTGGAGCACCAGAGGGGGATGGCAGCAAACCAAGGGGCTCCAGCCTTCAGGTGGGGTTTCAGACATGGGCTGCAGGTGCTGTGGGGTTGGCTGGGGGCAGCCAAGGTTCTGAGCACATAGGGGAAGGGCTTTTAACTCTGCTTTGGCTGCTGGGACTGCAAACAACGGTGGGGTTTTCCCATCTTCCTGGCTCTGAGGTGCTGTGTGGTGGCTGTGGTGATCCCTGCCCCTTGTGTGGGGTGCACAGGTTCTCTTTGCAAATGCTGTGGCCTTTGTTTCCCACAAGCCTGGTGTCCCCTCCATGTCACCATCTCCAAGCTGGGCAACAGGAGCAAGTGCCCAAGTGGCATCAGGGCAAAAGGGGCACAGAGGATCTTCCCTGGGGTGACTGTTGTTTGTCTGGTTGCACTTACCTGCCTTACACACCCTGCCTGGAGCTCCAGACAGAACAAGGCTTCTTGTTCTCTATCCTGCTCAGCAGACTTTTCCTGGGCCTGCAGAAGATGGAGGGAGACACCTGCAATGCCCTGGCCCAGGGTGTTCAAGCTCTTGCTCAAGAAGTGGGTGAGTAAAGAGCTGGTCTGGCCAAGTGCTGACAGGCACAGCAAGACCCTGGCCAGGGGACTTCCCAGGGCCAGG